GCCCGAATGCAGGCGTTCCGTGTGTTCGCACAACTCCTCTTCGGTGAAGCACTTGACGGGTATTTTGTTTGACAAAATCAAACGAAATATTATTTTTTAATACTGTCGACGATTTTTCTATTGAAATAAATTATTTCAAATAATTTTAGTTTTTATTATTTTCTAATTATAGTCTCATTTAAAGTCAAGATATAATTTTCATTTGTATTATATTTTATACTAAACTGAAAATTTGCTTTCATATTGTAATCTAGATTTTAATCGTTTAATCCGTAAATCAAATATTTTAATTAAATCAAACATTATTTGATGTATTTTCATAAATCAAAAACTAATTCACTTCATTCAATATTATTTTTAAAACTAATTATAAATAATTATATAAACCATTTGTAGGATTAAGACTATAATTTTAATTGTAGAATAAACAATTATAATTCACTAAATTATTACAATTATATAACAAAATAATTTTAAAAAACACATTAAAAATAATTATATTTATCGAGAAATTGTTTAGTTATGTCTTTGACGACAAGATTACCGTTTGGACACAACTCACTGTCAAACGTGTTGTTTGCGTACAAATTGTTTTGCGACACAAAAGTCAATTCAAACACACATTTGGGTCGTTTAGCGGCCAATCGCGCGAAACGGGTAACACTTTTAGCGGTAATACATGTATTACACTTCAACACAAGCGACCGGAATGTCGGACACCGCTTGATTAGCTTCTGGACACCGGTGTCTGTAATGGCATACACGTGACAGTTGAATGCCATGGCCTTCAAGTGCGTTAAATGAGATAATTTAGACACGTGTCGGACAAAGCGGTCGCTCAGAACCCGATCGGACGACACCTGCAGTGATCGCAATCGCGGTAAACAGTGATGAATGAAACGGAAGTGTTGGTCGCAAAGAGACGATATATGAAGCGCTAAATGCGTTAGATTTGAGTTAACGGCGCCGTCGGCGGCGAAACAGCCGACGCTCTCGTCGTTTGATTGGATGTTTTGGTGAAATTTCAATTGATTTAACTCCAGATTCTTGAGCTTACATTCGGTGAGCGCCGGGAATCGGGTTATGATATCAAAGAGTTTTGTGCGCTCCAGAAGACAACGAGTGCTTTCGGTGAACAAATTAAACTCCAATTGGGTTATCCGTCGACACGAGTCGCTAATTAGTTCCAGTCCTGAGTCTACGAAACACTGTTTCTCGCAGTTCTTGTGTTTGATAGTCAGCGACAACTTTGACAACAATTCATACCTCGAGATCTGTTTCAAGCAATCGTTCAATTCGTTCAAATCATTGCTTTTGTCGCACAAAAAGTCACTCGTGTTTAGTGTGAGAGTAATGGCGCGGATCTGTTGACAGTACGCGTCGCTAAACCGTCGGATTGTCTCATAATTAATACCATAAGAAATGTTGATTTCGGACAAATGCTTGAGATAAAAGTCACCGACGAGTAGTGAGCCCTCTGTGGCCAACAATTGCAGATAATTATGCCATTGGAAGCGATACGGATCGGCGTTATAACGAAACCATTGAAGACGAGTGGTCTCGCGTAAGAGTGCGGCCAACAGCCGATCCAAGTGGTCGTACGACAGGACACAGCCGTCGGTCGACCGCCAAACACACGACTCAAACGACAGGCGCTTCAGCCGCGGGCCGAGCGTACGGCCGAAGCGGGCCATCGATTCCGTGTCCACTCCGGCGAAGACACAGCGGCGGAAGTGGAGGCTCTGCAGTAGCGGACAGTCGGCGCCGATTCGGGCCAACACGTGGCCATCGATGGGCAGGCAATTGAACTCGAGGTGCAGTTCGCGAAGCGATTCAAACTTTCGCAACAGACAATCCGTGAGCAGTAATCGCCGCAAACCGTTGTCTCGCTTGTGGTGAGCGGTAATTGGGATCAAATGTGTGTCACTGTATGCGTGGCCACAGGTCTTGAACTCACTCAACACAAGCGTCGGGTGTCTGCGAAAGAGGGAGCGTTTGAATTGAGTGGAAATGCATTCAAACCTCAATTTGTCGCCAATCGAGAGGTAATTGAGGACTAATTCACACAAATCGTCGCCAAATCTGTCCATCGATTGGCGCACTCCGGAGGACACGTGTCTTAAATGGTCACTCATTTTGGGCTCGCATTCAAAACACAACACAAATCATAATAAAAAACACTTGTCTTTCAAATGAAAGCATAAATTGTTTTTCAAAATACATTTATTTTCATCAAAACAAGTGTTTTTAAATCAAATGCCAATCATTTTATTGCTATACAGTATAACGTTACGATAAGCAATGCTTTTGTCCCCTAAACTAATACTTTAAGCTATTTTCAATGATTTGTCAAAAACTTATCCAATTGTTTATTGAATACGTTATATATGAACGTCCCATACATAGTGTCACTCACGAGATGTCAGCGCTTTTAATGGTTTGTCAAAAAACCGGAAAAACGCCCACAATTTATTACTAGATGTGAGACTCTATACTCAAACCCACACCCGATTTAAATGTTACCCAAATATTATAAAACAAAAATAACTTGCTCAAAATGTAAATCTATATGTTTAATTGAATTTAATTCATGTGACTAAATAATTATTTTGTTCATGATACTTTTAATTTGAATTATATTAATTATATACATACTGTATACCTAACAAAGCGGGTTGGGTTGGGTCGGGTAGGGCTGCCATACATGTTATGTTAGGAAAGGGTTGTGTTAATGAACTGTGAGTTGACTGTGATTTTGTGTGAAAGCATTCGTTTGATTGCAATCGAAACACAATCACAACAACAATACAACCGAACGAACCGTTGATTGCATTCAAGTGTTGTTTGAATGCAAAGACTGTGCCATCGATTCAAGCGATAGACAGACAGAGAGTGACAGCCATTGAGACGATGTCTGCGGCGAAAGGGGTTCTCACGACTGATCAGCAGTTGATTTATTTGACGCAATGGTTCACTGAGTTGTCGGAAATGCAAACTCAGGACTTCATGAAGTGTTTGGTCCAGAAGTACGGCAACACATGTGGCAACTCAGCCGACAATCAGACGCTCATCAATGGATTCAATCATTTAGGTATTCATTTGAGTTTTTTGTTAAGATTTTTCTTTCCATTGATTTAATGTTCAATTATTTTCGTTTCCAATTCAATTTATTTTCAATGATTTGTTAAAAACTTATCTAATTGTTTATTGAATACGTTGTATACGAACGACTCATACATAGTGTCACTCACGAGCAGAGCTGTGGGAGGGAATGGTAAAACAATTAAATTTCCGTAAAATCAAACAAACAAAAAATACTAAAATATAAATTATTTATATAAAATGCAGTGACTTTAGCCAATCAATGAATGCATTCATTTAGTTGTCTCCTATAATAGAATAATAAGAAAATAGCAAATTATAAACAATTCAAAAGTAATGGATCTATAAATTAATTTGAAGGCATGTATACCTCAAGAGGAGGGGCGGTTTCGTCATGGGTTGTGGGCAGCACTACCTCATCGCTCTCGTGTAGTAAATCATCCAATTCTTTGAGCGTTCGGTCAAATTCGGTGTCGATTGCGTTCGCTTTGGATCCCTTGGACCGGAAATGTGTCAAATTATGTCGATTTAAATTGTCTTTTGATATGAAAGTACGGTTGCAATCATTCCATTCGCATTTGTAGGGCCGGTCGCCGGTATCTGCGGACGCAAACCATTTAATTCAATACTTAAAAAGTGATTGACAACCACTCAGAGAGTGTGAGCAACACTCACGTCGTCTCATATGTATTTTAAGCTTGTCTTTACGGCCGGCCTTAAAAGTGCAGTCTTGGAAATCGCAGGCAAAGGGCCGATCGCCCGAATGCAGTCGTTCCGTGTGTTCGCACAACTCCTCTTCGGTGAAGCCCTTGAAGTGACACTTTCCGAAACTACAGGCGTATTCTTTGGGCCCCAAATACACGGTCGCTTCGCCACTCGTTTCGTCCGTTTTACTCGCATTTCGGGCCGCTTTTGGTCTCTAAACCGACGCAAACATAACAATCAATTTACGAATCAATTTTTGAGATCATAATTAACGTACATTTGGAGACGTATTCACTTCGCTGTCGTCCAAATCGCTCTCCTCTTCCTCTTTTACAAAAAGTTTTCTCTTATGATTAATGACTTTTGATTTACTATTGATTTTGGGCTCCGTTTCGGACGAGCCTTCCGGGCATTCATGCGATACGAGCGCCATATCGTCGTCGAATTCTTGGCCGCAGTCCTCGCAGTCATACGGCTTATCGTCGGACGCGATGTCTGTCTTGTTTGGAGTTTGTTGTCCACCAAAGTGTGACTTTCGATGTCGGGCTAAATGATGGCTTTGAATGAAGTCCTGATGACAGCCCACGAAATCGCACTTAAAGGGACGTTCGCCCGAATGGTAGCGCAAATGTGCGGTCAGTTTGTCCAGCGTTTTGGCCGAATACGAGCACTTATCGTAACCGCATTTAAACATACGTTGGCCGCGATGTGATTGGCTGTGTCTTTGAAGCTCTTCTCGGGTCTGGAAATGCATTTCTAAACCAAATGCAAAATAAATGTCATTAAAAATGCGAAACTATTATATGGAAAGGGAGAACAAGGACTGACTGCAAAGTCCGAAATTGCATTTAAAGCCCAAAGGACTCAATGCGCTGAACGCCGAGTCTTCAATTCCCAGATGTCTTCGTAAGTGTTTCTCCAACTCATCCGCGGTGTGGAAGAGTTGATCACATCCGGAGAATTCGCAGATCAGTTGCTCTCTATTGGTGTGTAGTTTTCGGTGTCGACGCAACTGTTCGCTAATCGTAAAACTCTTGTCACACGTCGGCCACAGACACCGGAACTGCTTCACCGAAGAGTGTCGCGAGTGATGTATTTGGAGTTTGTCTTTGGATTTGGCGGCGAACGTACAGTCGGGGAATTGGCATTTGTACGGCCGGTCACCCGAATGGATCTGCTTGTGGGCATCCAATTCCTCTGGAGTCGCGTAATGCATGTCTGATTGCGGGACAAAAATAATGAATAACACATAAAATTGGGTCAAAAAGGCAACACTGACTGCATTTTCCGAAATCGCAAACAAATGGTTTGGGAGTTGCGGGCGCTTTCACTTTCTTGACCCGAATGGCTGTGTTGTTCATTACGGGCGACGACTCGGACAGGTGTTTGGTCTTGTGTTCGGTCAACACTTTGAGTGTCTCGAAGGCGTCCACACATTCAGGCCAATCGCATTTGTATGGATTGGGTCCCGTGTGGGCCACTGTCCGGTGCTCTGCCATCTCCGAAATGGTGGTAAAACTCTTGGAACAGCCGTCGAACGAACACTTGTGCGGGAACTCGTGTTTGAGTACATGTCGACGTATAATACCTTCATTGATGTTCCCGTAATCGCAATAATCCCACAAACATTTGTACCAGAATTTGCCGTCAAATGAGCGACACTTCACGTAATTGTCGTTTCCTTCGACGATATCGTCGGTGAGGGAACTGATGGGACACCGGATCACAGAAGTGATGCGCGAATTGTTTCGGTACCGATCGTATGGCTCGCACTTTCCGTCACCGCCGCCGCTGACACCACCGCTGGTGGCCGTCGTCTCGTAGTATTGGGTGCCGTCCGCCATAGTTATGCCTTCGCCGCTGATCTCATAAGTGGCCGTCTATTCCCAGAAATACAACATTTATTTAACAAAAAAGTAAAAAAAAAACAGAATTTAAATATAATTAATACCAAATTCTCGTCATTTAGTTGATAGACGTGATGGAGATTATCGTTAGGCAAACGGTTCCGATGGCCGCCGGGCTTATAGTCTTTGTTGGCTTTAATGAGTTGCGTTGTGTGCGACACGTGTGACACGCGATGGGCGGTCAACGACTTGATGTCTTTGAACTTCTGCTGACAGTCAGCGAACGTACACTTGAAGGCATTGGTGTCCATATGTGTGGCCGAGAAGTGTTGCAACAGTTCCTGCGTTTCGGTGAAGCGGTCGCCGCACCCGACGAACGAACACATGTATGGCTTCTGGTGTTTGACCGCGTGTTTACGCATTGAACACTCGGAGGTCGTCCGGAATGAACACAACATCCATTTGCACACGAAGTCCACCCGACCGTCGCTCGCAGTCTGACTCCTCTCTATCGTCCAATAGTTGGCCAAATCGTCGCCACCGGCAGCGCAGCCGTCGCCGCCCGCGTCCACCGCCCGGTCGTTGTCCGCGTCCAACGCCTGTTGCGTGTCGTCCATCGCCGGCGCCTCCAACACGTGGGCCACTAACTCCTGTCCGCCCGACTGGTCGTAGTTGTGATCGTCAATGATCTGAATGATGGTTGTGGTCATGTGTTGTCCGGACCCGTGTTGTTGCTGTTGCTGTATATGCGCGACCACTTCCTGGGCGTCCATCTGATGGACTTCGTGTGCGATCACTTCCATCACCTGATGTTGTTGTTGCTGTTGTTCGGCGCCGTCGATGGTCTCCATCTGATCCATCACTTCTTCGACGGCCTCTTTGAGCACTTTCTGTTGACGTCGAGTGACGCGAGCGGACGGCGCGGGCGCTGCCGACGGCTGAGCGACGGTTTGGGCGGCGTTTGGCGCTACTCTCGCCCGTCGACCGCCGGCCGTCTCGGCGACCGTCCGTTTCGTGTTTCGCGTATTCATTATCTACTTATGGCTGGCGTTGAGACCAAACCGTTAGTCTTCGGCACCAAAAAGTGTGGGTAAAAAAGGCCGACAAAAAAGACAATTGATTTTTACGGCTGTTTTTGTCATTCAATTTGTTGTTTACATTGTGTTCAACACAACAGCCATTGGTGTCTATTATGTGACTGTTTTGGTACCATTTGATAGGCATATAATGTATTGGTATGTGTTGTGTGTTGTTGTCATAAAAGGTACGATATGTTCGCATAATTCAATAATTTGGCTTCAGTTGTGGTTTTGGCACTAATTTTGAATGTATTGTCCGTTTGTTTGCTGTACTCGTTTAGAGGGGACCCCCTATTAGGGGTGCAAACCATGTGTCGCCCCCTCTATCTCGTTATTATGCTGATGATTTAGCGATGAATTAAATTTGTAGCTGGGTACATTTAATTTAATAAATGCTGTTGTGGCATTAATTTTTGATAATTTATTTCTGTTTAAATTGATTAAAAGTTTTATTTTTAGTTATTGTACAGTATATTATACTTAAGAATTTGTATTCATCTAGGTACTTTTTTAAATAATTTATTTCGTTTTAAATTTATTCTTAATTAGTAGTCAATTAAAACTGATGGTAAAAATGATAAAATGATTTATAAAACTTGATAATGTTATCTATTGATGGCATTTATAATAGTTATCTAATAGTTGTTTAAAACATATTTTCTTTATTACAAAACTTTGAAATTTTGTTTTTATATAACAAATATTTAGACAACAAATATATCAAATTTCTGAAGCTATTAATATAATGATAAAGTTTATTCAATACCTGTACCATAGATAATGATGGTTGGGATGTAATATATTTGCTCATACGATACCATCGGTGCAATTATTTTTACAAATATGCAAATTCTGACCAAAACTACACTTGCATTCAATTTTCTGTTTTCGCAAACATAGATATAATAGAAATAAAAATACACTACAAATGCAAACCAATACAAATATAATGGCAAAATCCACCATAAAATGCATTTTTAGTTATTTTTAATAATTCTTAACACATATTCACCATAATATATCAAACCTAACTCTTAATTAACATAATACTGAATTAATATTTTAAATAAATACAAACTTATTCTCAATTGTTATGCGCGAAAAATGGCAAGATTTTTTTACTGGAAAGTTGAAATCATTTCAAAACATTGTGTAAATATAATACATATTGATTGAATATATAGCATATAAGTATATCTTTTATGGTAATTGGTAAATATATTGACTGACTGTAGTGTACAAGTGCTCAAACATCTGGAACATATTGTATGTCTCTATTCGTGTGTATTTCTACACATCAATAATCACCAGAATATTACTCTCGCTTTCGATTCATATACCGTAACTCATGCTATGAATGTATGAATGCTATAATAAATGCTATCAATATTGATATTATTTATGCAAATCAAATGAGATAAAGGTTTTAGTTAAATAATTTTGTGTACAGATAGTGGGTGGGGAGTGGATCCACATGAACGTGGACACAATTAACTTGGTGATTGGCAATTAAACTTTATTTTGTAAATTGTTTGTTTTAAATATTTAAAGCAGTTTTATTAGTAATACTTAAATTTGAAATAACTTGGTAACATTTAAAAATGATATACATGTATATAAAATGTATATAATTATATAATAAATAATTGGAAATATTTATAAAACTAAGAATTAAATTGTACAATTTGATTAAAATGGTTTAATATTAGGAAAATAAAAATTATAAAGTAGATATTTATACAATATAAATGTGGTGAACAATATATTCCACAACAACAAATTCACCAAAAACTATACAATAAATGAGCATTTGATCAGGCTAATATTATTTTAATAATAATATTTGAGCATATTAAACTATATTAATTAAAAAGTAATATAAATAATACCCTCCATTACACTAGAATACACCATAAATATTGTTTCAAATTGAAATATAATTAAATTAATAAGAGTGGGACATAATTAACATAACTGAGCATGGTATCAGGCGTATTTTGTCTACTTTGTTGCAATTGAAGCAGATTAGCCTGTATTGCATTGACTTTAGCCTGGTAACTAAATATTTTGGACTGAAATTGATTTAAATCGGTTTCCAATGCTTTAGAAAATGACCAAATATTATGTAATTCCGATTGCATTTCAAAGTATGTGTACCAGAGTTGTGTCAACTCATACTGAAGCCGATCCTCATGTCTGTCCTCGCCGTCGGCGTTCACTAATTGAGACTTAATGTTATAGAGTTGTGACAATTGGTTATAGAGCTGTGACTGTAGATTCAGAAACAGAAACTCCTGTTTGGGTTTTCCTGTAATCAACATTTTTTGGTGTAATAAATAGGTTTAAAGTTATTTTCTGATAAGAAAAATACAATTGTTTTTAAAATTGCTTTTGAATTATATTGAAAATTGAATTTTAAATTGCATTTCTCACCCGTTTTAGAGTCGCTTTGTTTAGTCCGTACGGCGCCGTCGACTACAGCTCCGGTAGACAATAGGATAATACCGGCAATTATTTTAAAATATGACAATTTATGCATTTGTTTATTATACTGTATACAAAAATTGTTTTAAAAAACTTAATAATTTTATATAAAATTTTTGAGAAACTAAAACAATTTAAAGACGATTTGAGTGAATAAAAAAATCCAATAATAATTTGTGCAAAAATATCTGGTTATACGAGTGTATGGTTTTTGAGAGAGAGAGAGAGAGAGAGTCTCTCTCTCTCTCTCTTCTGGGCTCAGGTATGCCTATAAGGCAATTGTTGTGATGATTATTGCGAAAGTTATTTGACATTACAATAGAAAAACAAGAATACACGAGAAAATTGTTGTAAAATGTAAACTAATTTGTTGTGAATATTTTATATGTTTTTTTTATATAGTGTGTAATTTATGTAAAAATAATTGACTAAAACTTTCTGGCAATTAACATTGCTAGCTTTATTTGTCACATAATACATAATGTACAGTAGATAGATGAATTTACAAAACATTTAATAAATATATTACAAATATCTTGATATAAAATAGTAAAAAAATATCTAAATAAAACAAAGAACAATTTAAAATGCATAAATAGGTACTATGTATCACTTTTATTATATCATTAACTTATTGATTAGTATTTCATTAACGAAATAATAAATTTCAAGATTAAATCACTTAAATTTCTCAAAGAAAACTTTCCATAAAATTACTTAATAACAAAATAAATAACATTAAAAGTACATTAACATACAATTTATGTTAATAAAATTTTATTTATATATACGAAATACTTTTTAAAGTATACAAAAATAAAAGCACCCATGTCACAATAAGATAATAAAACATACTATAAAATACAGTAGACTTGACATTCATTATTTAAGTGAAAGAAAGCGCTGGTATGCGATGGGAAAGGGTTCAAGAAATGGGCAATAATTCAATGAGAATAATGTTATCAATTTAAAAGTTGTCAGAGATTTTCAAATAACATTGTCGTCTCAATGAATGATTGACTCCAACAATGAAAATTGTTTTCCTAAGAAAGGATTATGCTAACAAAACACACATAGCATGTAGCATGGTGATATGTTGATTACACAACACTCAATAATCCGGGCCCTCTTATGGCTGTCAAAAAGCCCATTACAACGACCCGAACACAAAGAGCTTTATGTTTTATTCGCAAATTATTATATAATTTTAGTTTTATACATACTATGACAGGTAAACATTAAGTTCAATATAGTGAACATGTTTTGGGTATAATAAATGTTGGTATGAATTTTTAAGTTTTAATTAGATTTAATCTCTTATAAAGTTATAACATGTATATAATAAAAATTTTAATAATAAAGTTGTAATTTAATTAACGAGTAGTGCAATAATGTATAATAATTCTGTAATTTTGTTGTAAATTTTACTAGATTAAAACAAAACAAAATTTGGATTAAATGTTTGGATCAATTGAGTATAATTATATCTATTAATATTATAACCAGAATTATGATAATATTAAAACATCTGTTGGGGTTTCAAAAGCCATTGTCCGGAGACACCAATCAATGGCCCGACAAATATTAGTGAAACAAAATTAATTGATTTTAAAGTCTTTCCTTAAAGTGTTTTAGCTCTCAATTTGTAAATCACTTATCATTTAAATCACGTAATAATCATTTGGCGTCATTTGCTCTCACTTTGCATATATACCGGTATATTGTGAACAGAAATTAAAATATCTCAATAATGTGCACACCTTATAAACAAAAGCGATCAATATATTGATAAATCAGATTAGATATTATTATTTATGAATAGTAAATTGTTAACAAAATATATTAATACGTGCAATTCGTTGGTTCATTATAACGAGAGTTCATTGCAACTAAATAACAATTGTTTTAACGAGAGAGAGAGAGAGAGAGAGAGAGAGAGATAGTTAAAAAACATATAAAATATTCACAACAAATTAGTTTACATTTTACAACAATTTTCTCGTGTATTCTTGTTTTTCTATTGTAATGTCAAATAACTTTCGCAATAATCATCACAACAATTGACTTATAGGCATACCTGAGCCCAGAAGAGAGAGAGAGAGAGAGAGAGAGAGAGAGAGAACAAAATAAAATTTAATGAAACATAATTTTCGGTCACAAATAGTGTATATATTTTATTTGAGGCAATAATTGGAGACACAGTATAATGAACTCCCAAATTGAAGAAACTTTTAGTATTCAATGGAGAGTTTAAAACACTTTTTATTTATTATTTATTTTCTCTTCTGTTTCGGGAAAAGAGTAAAATAAATTAATTTTTTACATTACTTTCATAGAGAAATACATTTCAATGTCATAGACAGTGATAGGGAGTGAGTGTATGATGTGTTTGGGTACACGAGTGCAGAGCACCGGCCGTTTCTAACTGAGCCTTTAAGCGAAAAAAGTTTACTGTACTCTAGATTTCGCAATTGCTATCTGTATTATACGTTCACACATCGGATCTGATAAATGTCTTAACCATTATATACGGTATAATAAAGATTGCATAACACACAAGACCTGTCCCTCCGGGTGCGGTCGTGTGGGTCACTGCGGACAATGCTATAGTCAATATT